TTTTTTTTTTTTGTGAGCCAATCTTGCTATGTAGTCCAGATTGGCCTTGAACTCACTGTGTAGCCTAGGCTAGTCTCGAACTCATGGTGGTCTTCTAGCCTCAGCCTCCAAAGTCCTGGGCTTACAGATGCCACCATGCCTGGCCTAGAATGCTGATGATTTTTTAAAATTCATGCTTGATCATATATGAATGTTTTACTAAAAGCTGCTGAGAGCTGTGAGGGTATGAGAAGAGCCTGTAAAACTGGCCTCGTTGGAGTTGTGGATGCACCCCATTTCCTTGCTGATGCCTGCAGCCATTACCTTCCAGGAAATGTGCTTCTACTTTTCTACCTAGAAGCAACAGGCCTAGCTGTGGTGTCTGAGCAGACGGGAAGATCTCTCATGTAGACTTTGACCATGTCTCTCGACTCAGGAGCCTACTCAGCTGTGCCTGGCAGCCCCAAATCCAGAGACCCTGTCTTTTACCTTCTTTGGAAAATGAGCTCCAACCTCTGTTGGGAGAGGGCCTTGCCTGGTTCTTGGCTGTGGATTAAGGAACTGGTTCTGGAGGTCTTACTGCCTTTGAAACAACTGTTCTTTACCTCTCTCCTCCCATATTTTCAGAGGTTGTAGCTGCTGCCAGTTCCTTTTGGAGGCTGTGTCTTAGAAATTAAGTTTTATTTCATTATTCCTCACTGCTGGCTTTGGATTAATCTGCTTTAGCTCCCAGATTTTTATTGCTGATTTTCTCTCCTCCTATCCCTTGACCTTTGGATGTGGGCTCTTTAAAATGAATTCCTTTATTGTTATTTTAGTTTGTGCTTAACTCTGCTTTTGGACCTCTCATTCTAGGGGAGCGACCCTTCAAGTGTAATGAGTGTGGAAAAGGCTTTGCCCAGAAGCACTCCTTGCAGGTCCACACCAGGATGCACACAGGCGAGAGGCCGTACACCTGCACTGTGTGTAGCAAGGCTCTGACCACCAAGCACTCACTGCTGGAGCACATGAGCCTGCACTCAGGTAGCTGGCCTGCACCAGAGGGCCACCTGTCACTACATTCCCACCCTCCAGATTGGGCATTTCTGGAATCTGAGTGGAATTTCCTTAGCCTAGTGTCATTTTCCACATGGTGTCTTTGAAAGACAGATCTAGGCATCTGTCAGAATGCAGTTCAGAGTTTGCACAGCACTGAGCCTTCAACTAACACCTAGGAACTGCCCCTTGGGAGTTCAGAGTGCATAGATGCTTTGTTTAACTACGAGAGTTTGGAAGTATTTTAATTTGAGTGCCTTTGGAAGAGACTTGAATTCTGCAGTTGTACCCCAGTTTCCACCAGTCCTGTTGCCTTCCGTACCTTTGCACCTTTATGTCTCTGCAGTTGACTAAAGGCTTTCAGGAGTATAGGAGGTTACTTGTACCCTGTGGAGTAATGGGGATCTGGGCCCACTGTGTTATTTACCTCTTCCGTGAGTTTTCTAGAACTTGACAGTTTTATGCATGGTTTAAGTATTTTATTTTTTATTTGGCAGGACAGAAATCTTTTACCTGTGATCAGTGTGGAAAATATTTCAGCCAGAAAAGACAACTAAAGAGCCATTACCGAGTTCATACAGGTACAATAACCATGAAATGAGAGAAAATTTGGATTGGTGGGAAGAAATGCAAATATGAATTATTTCTGAAATGTTAGGCTCATATTCTAGAAGATAAATGGATATTTTGGGAAAATATTCTTAAAGGTCTGTAAATTAGAGGTCATTATGTTCTGTACTGCCATGGACTTAAATTTTTGTATAATAGTTTTGGTGCCACACTTAGAAACCCTGGAGAATTAGCATCTTTTAAAAGTGCCACTTGCCCCAGAGGGCTTTGTTGGGCTGGTTGGTAGTGATGCCCAGACAGAGGCACCATCACCAGGGTGGTCAGTCCAGGCTTTTCTCCCACCTGGTCGACTCCGTGTCCTTTTCTCCTTTCTGTCGAACGAATAAAGGATGGAAAGAGATGGGCGCATCACTTGAGATCAACCGGCCGGCCACACCAGTGCTTCAAGGAAAGAGATCCATTTATGATGACTGGGAAGGTCCAGCTCCCTCAGGGAGGCAGTGAGGGAGTAGTGACTGTTACCGAATGCTAAAAGAATTGTGTTGTTGTTGTTAAAGTACCATATTTAAAGTGATTATTTTTCAGGGAAGTGCTTTAACACAGATCACTGAAGAAATGCAGGGAGAGCATATATGCACTGACACTTTTTTTATTGTTGCGACAAGGCCACTCATTACCGGAATGTAACCACTGCAGTCGCAAATTCATGGATGTGTCTCAGCTAAAGAAACACCTCCGAACACACACAGGTAATGCACCATCTGTTGCCCCTCCTAGCTCACATGATGTTTGCAGCTTGAGGATGTAAATAGCGTTTGAGTTTTATAAGTAGGTCATTGGAAGCCCAAGGGAGAGTGGTGAGCACTGTTCTGTAGGGACATCGCATCTCTCTGTAGGCTAACACAAAACAGGTCACTTTCTGACTGCTGTTCAGATATGAAAATTCATATAATGCTGAAGAATAGTACACCTCTAAGTCTGGTTCTACATTTCTCTGTCTCTCTCTCTCTCTCTCTCTCTCTCTCTCTCTCTC